CGGGTCCCGCCGAAGCGTCCGGGCCGAGCGGGCCTTGGACAGCCACAACTCTCGGTCCTCCCGCCGCGGCCCCTCGGATTTGGGAACCCCGGATACCGGGTCTGCCACATCCTGCCAGTGGGTTCGCTGCTTCCAGACCGTAACGACCTCGGCGCCCGGGGTTTGCCCGAGACCTCTGCCAGGCTGTCTTAGAACCGAGAAGAAACCTCGGAGTCCTGCTTTTAATCTTGTCTATCGTTTACAAATCGCTCCTCTCCACGGGTGGGACCTGGGCATGCGTGTTCTCCTGGATTCGGTTCGGGGAAGTCCGTCTAAGGGGCTCCTCGCCGTGAGAGTACTCGGGCTTGAACGCGTGTCCTCGTCTCGGATGGGTTTTTGTCACCCAGAATCGATGGCTGTTCCCCCGCCGGGGAGTTTATGCGGAGGTGCGTTTGTAGACGGTTAATACCGAATAGACCGTTTGCAAGAGAGAGAAGTGACGTGCGGTGGGGACGAAATGATCCTGGATAAAGGCTCATCACGCCCACAAATGCGTGTCGGAAAACCGTGAACGTTGTTGAAAACCGGCAGCTCTTTGGTGTCACGGGCATAGCTTTCATTTCCCCAACGACTTTGGTGTCTAGGTGCATCGGAAGGGGGCATGGTGATGTTTTCCAGGTAGTCAGTTCCAGCCAGAGCCTCCCGAAGCACAGCCATCAGGTTCCCCCGAATTGTCTTGGGGACTCCTCCATCAGTGAGTGCGGATTTTAGATTTAGGTGTACTTTTGCATTACAGAGCAAATCTTGCATTTGTGGGAAGGTTGTTGACCGCAAAAATGGTAGGAAGCAGCGCTGGCCGCACTGGGAAAAGCTCAGGCGTGGCAGTCAGCCCTCCTGTTCTGGAGTCTGGCATGTCACCCTCAGTTTCCACATCTGTCAAATGGGCTACATAGTGTCTATTACAATGGAAGGGTGTAAGGATTAGAGATCGCTATGGTGCGGAGGAAGCTTATTGGAATCTGTAAGAGGTCTTGAGCCGGCTGGATAAGAACTCAACCTCAGGACCAGTAGATGGCATGGTGGTTATATCGCTGGGCTCCCAGGGTTCGAGTCCCGTACCCGGCAGCTTAAAACTCACGACAGGTGCATATGTGTGTGTGTCCAAAATCCCAAGAGGAGACTGGAGGAGAAGGGATTGCAATGTGGCCATTCCCCCTGGCCCTGGGGCCGGGATGTGTGTGTGTGTGTGTGTGTGTGTGTGTGTGTGTGATTTCTCGCCTTCTGTCTCTCCTGTCTCGCTGGAGAACACACGCACCCTATAGCAAAAATCTATCAAAATAAAATAAAATAAAGACTCTGTGCTGGATGCCTGCATTCCAGTGTGGAGACAGAGGCAGGATTTCTGCACTCCGAATTGTACAGGCTCTTGGCAAGATTGACAACATACAGGTTGCTCCATAAATAAACGACAAATTGTGAAGAGCGCTGTAAAGATAAAAACAAACAAGTGGGTTGTACCAAAGCATACCAGGGGAGTGTTTGGATTGGGCTAGGGAAGGGGTCTTTACGTTGAAAAGGATGACAGGACTACGCTTTCCCGGCTAAGCAGGCAGCAGGTGCTATGAGGAGGAGGTTGATGGTCTCAAGGATTCCGAAAGCCCTGGAGCTTGGGGAGAGGCCAGGAGAGTTGCAGATGAGTCTGGAGAAGTGGGTTCAGACAGATGGTGCAGAGTCCTGAAGGCCTGGTAGGTTTGATTTCTAAAAAAGAAGTTTCTGAAGGCTTTATTTGGTAAGCTGAGTGTTGGGGGAGGGGGGGAAGAGAATAATCAGGTTTACATTTTATTTATTTATAGAGTTTAGGTTTTTGCCATAGGAGGCATATGCTTGCTCAAGGAATACAGAAGGGAAAATGAGAAATCACCCCCCAGAGGGATGGTTACACGGCAATTCCTTCTCCTCCATTCTCTTGGGATTTGGGGAATGCATGCACAAATGCCTGGAGTGATTTCAAGCCACTGGCTCCGGACTCGAACTGTGCAGTCAGCCACGTGGGGACCCAGCGCCTTCACCTCCATGTCTCCTACAGGCTCCTTGGGTTTCTGGTTTTGGGGATTGGCATTGTAAAGTCTCCCTACTGTGATGACCGAGTTGGAGGTGACTAGAGGGGACACACGGAGACCAGACTTACAGTTGGCTGGGCGGAAGATGACACAGTGTTTGTGGTTTTGGCAGATGGAGAGATGTGGGTGGGTTCGAGATGTGGGAGTTGGAAACCATTAGCCTCGTGATGGATGGGAGGTGGCGGGTGTGTGTGTGGGGGTGGAG